AGGAGGACAAGGATAAACTTAAAAGCATTTATGCTGACATCTTTGAGCATGGGTTGTCTCTACATGATGTCATCAATAAGTATTTTAAATATACTGATGACATCACAGGAACAGAAAGCAATGTCGCATATTTAAATAACACTTGTAGAGAGGTTTCAAGGCAGATCAGGAAACGACAGGGCAAACAAAATGAGTTTGAAGTCGGCGAGATCATGATATGCAGAGAGTATAGGAAGACAAAAACCTATAAGTTAAATGTGAATTTTAGGTATGAGATAATTAATATTTCCGATCCTTGGATTACCATTGCTAATATCAAAACACGAGAAGAGATTACGCTAAATATTGGTATCTTGAGAAGTCATTTTATCTTTGCCTTCTGTTATACTTGTCATTCTGTTCAGGGGTGTTCCATTGATGACGATGTCACCATTTTTGATTGGAACCATCATCTGATAACTCGCGAGTGGCTTTGGACGGGGATCACTCGGGCAAGGGATTTAAACAGAGTAAAATTTTACAAATACAGTAGTGATTTAAATGAAGAGTTTAACGCAAAATGCATTATGAATTATTTTGATAGAAAGGTGTTAGCATACAAGGAACAGGATCGTAAAAATGGCTTTGACATTCCAAAAGAAAATTATGTAGATGCCGAATGGTTGAAGGACAATGTCAACGGAAAGTGTGCAAATTGTGGCTGTGGCTTCGTGTTGTCAATGGATTCTGGCAATATAAACTCTAATTTGACTTGTCAAAGGTTATGCAATGATCTTCCCCATGCAAAGGATAATGTCATTGCCTTCTGTGCTTCTTGTAATAGATGCTTCAGTGATAAAATAACATATTGATATTTTGATATTTATTTTATAGTATTATATATATGAGTGAAAAAGACAAGATAATCAGTGAGGTCTACTACGATCAGGCTGGGTTTGGTAGCATCGCCACCACTTACAAAGATGCAAAAAAGAAAGATGCATCCATAACAATGCAAGATGTCAAGGAGTGGTTTCAAGAGAACGTGGAACGGAAAAAACAACTGTCTGGATACAATTCGTTTATTGCCCCTGATATCAACTTTGAATATCAATTGGATCTGTTTTTTATATCAAAAAATGATTTAGATAATCAAAAATATAGGATAGGCTTATTGCTTATTGATGTATTTTCCCGCAAAGCCGTGGTGGTGCCTATTGCATCCAAGCAACCTGCCGACATCACGGCTGGGATCATGGAGGCATTAAACAAAATGGGAGGGAAACCCAAATTAATTTATTCGGATGACGAGGGGAGTCTCAATACCCAAGATCTTGTTGATTTTTTCAAGGACGAAGGGATCCAAAACTATAAAACACGAGGGCACCCCCATTTCGCCGAGCGTTTCATTCGCACGTTCAAGGACATGCTTTTCAAGAGGGTTGATGCAGACGAGAAAAAGGGAAAGGTTAATATACAATGGGTTGATTATATCCCCGAGATCATGCTGACATACAACAGTAAAATGGTTCATTCTGCCCACGATATGACTCCAAACGATGCCCACAAAAAGGGAAACCATCTTGAGGTCAAGATGAAGCTTGAGATGAACAGAATCAAAACCCGTAAATATCCCCCTGTTAGGGTTGGCGATGAGGTCAAAATATACCGCAAAAAAGGGATTTCCGAGAAAGAAAGAACGAGCTCATGGTCAGCAAACAAGTTCACAATTGAAAGGATTGAGCGAAAACTTGGACAAGACTATTATTATGTCCAAGGTGTGACTCGTGCTTATTTGAGATCGGAAATTCTGAAGGTCTGAAGGAAAAGGTATATAAAGGAATGTGTCCTTTTACTGTAATGCCAGACTATCAAAAAGGGAAAATTTACCGCATCTGGGACAATGCCTTCACGAAATGCTACATTGGTAGCACGGTTGAACCGTTGAGCAAAAGAATGACAAAGCACCGAGAAAAATACAACGCCTATTTGAGACAAACATACCCATTTACGACTTCGTTTGCTTTGTTTGACAATTTCGGGTTTGAAAACTGTAAGATTGAACTGTTGGAAAACTTCCCCTGTAACAGTAGAGAGGAACTCTCTGCAAGAGAAGGGTATCATCAAAGGAACGAAGCATGTATTAACAGAATCCACCTCGGGAGAACTAAAAAGGAATACTACTACGAAAACCATGAAGCGTGTCTACAACGAAGCAGGACATGGAGGGAACAAAACCAGCAATACAAACGGGACATGGACAAAAAATACCGAGACACTAACAAGGAAACAATAGTATCCAAATTAAAGGAGAAGAAACTATGCGAATGTTGTGGTTGTTATATTTCTTTGCGAAATTTGTCTGCTCACAAAAGGAAACAGAAACACAATGACTTGATGGCACAACACATTGATTTGTTGAAAAAATAATATCTAGACGGTTCTAATAGCTGATGAATCTATTAGAAATGTTTAGCGGGACAGGGTCGGTCGGTCGCATCGCCCGTGATCTGGGGTTCAATGTCATTTCATTGGATTTGAAAAATGCTGATATAAATACTGATATTTTGAAATGGGATTATAGACAATTTGATAGGAACCATTTTGATTTTATTTGGAGTAGTCCCCCATGCACTGAATACAGCAAAGCAAAAACTACAGGAATTAGGAATATCGAATATGCTAATAGTATAGTTTTAAAAACTATTGAAATTATCAAATATTTTAATCCTAAATATTTTGTAATCGAAAATCCTCAAACTGGATTATTAAAAAATCAGCAGTTTATGAATGAGTTTGATTTTAAAGATGTTGATTATTGTAAATATGGATTTAATTATAGAATGAGGACTAGGCTATGGAATAACATTACAACTTGGAAACCTAAAGATTTATGTAAAAAGGATTGTGGCAACATCAGGAATAATAAACATATTGAAACAGTACAACGGCTACCATCGGGCACTAAGGAAAAATGGGGAGACAATCCAATAATACATAAACAGGAAGACCTATATAAAATACCTAGCGAATTAATTAGTGAAATCTTGGTGAGTTTGACGGATTAAGGATTTTGAGTTTGGGGTTGGGCTTGAAACTTGAAATTTCTAGGTTCATCCAACGACAAAACAGCATGTTTTTCTTGAAAAATTAGGTTCCCCCTTTTTTGGGGCGACTGTTCCCCCTTTTTTGGGGCGACTGTTCCCCCTTTTTTGGGGCGACTGTTCCCCCTTTTTTGGGGCGACTGTTCCCCCTTTTTTGGGGCGACTGTTCCCCCTTTTTTTGGGGCGACTGTTCCCCCTTTTTTTGGGGCGACTGTTCCCCCTTTTTTGGGGCGACTGTTCCCCCTTTTTTGGGGCGACTGTTCCCCCTTTTTGGGGCGACTGTTCCCCCTTTTTTGGGGCGACTGTTCCCCCTTTTTGGGGCGACTCTTGACTTGCTTAGCTATTATTGAGATGAATGTTTCAGTTCTTGATTATACTATACTTATAACATGTAAGATCTTATATGTTGTAATTATAATATAGGTTTCCCGTATAAGCCGTGGTGGTGCTTTCCTACATAGGCCTTTCCCGATCCGCATATTGCCATCCATATTTTACTGGGATTATTTTCAAGATTTGGGTTAACGGTTTTAATTCTCCCTTTTCCATTGGTTAACCATTTTTCGGGGAGTGATAATTTGTTGAAAATAGGGTTGTAGCCATCTAAAGGCAAGGTGTCCTACTATAGTATGGAGAAAAAACTGTGTTCAAGATGTAGATACGAGAAAGATGAAGATAGTTTCGTGTATGGACTCAAAAATTGCGATAAATGCATTGATCAAAAACGGGACTATCGGACACGAACTGTAGACAAGAGGAAAGAATACCGGAAACAGTATCTAGAAGCAAATCGCGAGGAAATTAATCAGAAGCGTAGAGAGAAAACAGCGAATAATGGATATTTGTATTGTCATGTTTGTGAAAGAAGAGTGAACCCAGACATCTGGGACTTCCATTTGGTTGGAGGTTGTCACCAAGATAATATACTCAAACACTTGAAAGCAGATTATGAACGATTAGTTGAAGAAGCACCTACACAAGAATTCAAGGACAAATATTATCAAGAAGGTCAAGAGAGGATACAAGAACTCAAAATGACAATGCCTTTGTATAATCCAGCTTTGAGAAGAAAGAAAGTTGATCAGGCTGATGGTGATAAATTGGACTAAAAAATGAAGTTAATCATTAGAAAAATAATGTTCTAATGATTAACTTAGAGGGTTGTTCAATTTGGTGGTTTTGAATGGTGTAATTTGATAGGTGTATTTAAAAAGTGCTCAAAAGCGTAGGGGGGGGTATGGGAAAAAATGCCATCCGACGGACGGGAAAGCACTAGTCTAACTCAGCGGAGGTTCTGACGTCCGGACCCCTTGGGGTTCGAGATGGGGAGCGAGAAAGCTGCGGGAAATGGCGAAATGGATAGGGCCCCACAAGGTTTTGGCTTACTTGCTTTTTTTCGTTCTGGTTCCAAAAAAAATCAAAAAAATTGACCGCCGCGGCACAGAGGGCGGTCGTACATTGTGTGCCAGGTTGCACCGTTTGCTCGGCTGCCAAGCTTACGCCCTCAATGATGTTTGCCGGTTAAGGGCAAGCTCTTGGTTTCAAAACAACTCAAAGCTGTTTGGATTGCTATTTCTGCAAATTTATTGTTTCCGATTTGTTTGCCTCCTCGACGGTGTTATTTTGGCTTCTTCATCACTTCAGCCAAGGTGCTGCTGTTTGGCCACTCAAGTCACTTTCGCATCTCATCCGCCCTGGTGCCACGTGCAGCGTTTTGTTTTCAATCCCTGCATATTGCCTCCATTCCTTCAACCCAAACCCTATATTTGGGCCCATTCAAGGGGCAAGGCGAATCCCCCTTACAAAGTAAGGGCAGTGCCAGAGACACTTCGCAGATTCCAACCAGCCCAAGACACAATGAGGCACAAGTTGGGCGGGGCTTCCGTGCGCGGCAAAAGCATTTGGGGTCAGCCTCAGGATATGAATAGCGACTCTTGGACTGCAACAGACACCATCCTGGGCCAGAATCAGCTGGTCCTGAAGACCACAGGAGCGGCAAGGGGCTGTGTCCTTGTTCCTTGGACACCATCATGAAGCCATCCAATTCGGAGGGTGGCCCAATTTCAAAACAAGCTCAGATGGTAACACGCACAAAAAAGAAGCGGGGACCGGGGGGCAAGCGACCGGCACGAGCCGCGAACCGCAAGCTTCAGGAGATGGTCTTCTGACACTACGTTTGGCTGGGGGCTTCAAGTGGGAGCACGTCGCTTCTTACAGGCCTAAAGGGTTTGGGCTCGTTGGGCCTGCTCATGGCGGGAAATGGTCCATGTCAAGTGGATGTCAAAATCGCGGGACACCGTAAAAGGGCCAAAAAGGTCACATGTCCTTGTGGTTTCCTTTCAAACCAACCTGAAAATTGTACCCTCAAAAAAGCACGGCCCAATGAGGCTTTGGTAGTCTCGTTCACTGTGATGCGCCAAGGGAAGTGGTCATAGGGATGTGTTTGCTTTTTGCTTCGGCATCACGGAAATTGCTGTTTCCACGACAACGTTGCCGGGCAGTGCTTTGTGAGTCAGGCTTGGCAACAAGAACAAGGACGACTGCCTTTCCATGAAAAGCTATGCAGTGACTCAGATGCCCCGCTGTCATGCCAACCGCTAGACTCGAGAGAAGCCAGAGGCACCGAAAGCCCCTTGCGTCAGGAAGGGGAGACGCTGAAAGTTGTGGATTCCAGCACCAAGGCAGGACGCAAGCTCTGGTGCGAAGCGCAGTCCTCGGTGCTGGCAGGGCTTTGAGGTGAGCGACCTGCAAACGGCCTTTGAAGAAGTGAGGTACACCACCTACGGCAAGCAGAAGGCGCTTGTGTTTTTTTTTTTTGGGGGGGGGGGCAGGGGACGAAGTGATGTTTGGCTGTGTGTTTTCTTGTGTCTCCCACCAATTACCACCACCATTCAAACCAAAAACGACTCACGCCTGTGATGCTAAGGAGGTACCCTTCACACACTTCGGCATCACAGGGGCCACTTGTCACAATGTTGAGGGCCCGACGGATCACCTTGCAGGGCGCCGTGCCCTTCGAGGAGTTCGCGCTGAGACTCTTCGAGAGGCTGGCAGGTCGCTGCCCTCAGGGCGGAAGAACAAAATGACTGAGGAGACCCTTCCATAGTGTCAAGATATCCCGAGGGAGCTGTGCAACCCCATCCCTGAGGCCGGCCCTGTGAAGGCCAAAGGGACTTGGATCCCCTGAAGGCCGGGCCGCGAAAATCTCAAGGGACTGGGGGCCTCGAAGTGGCTGAGGGGGTGGAGCACGGCGCCAAGCCCACCCAAGCCGGCTGGCAGTAGGCCTGGCGTGTGTCACGAGGGGAGCAAGTGTGCCAAAGTGCAATTGGCGCCTTCGGCCCGACGTCAGGATTGCCAGGTCGTTGCCGGACAAGCGCCAGGCTCTTGACTTGTGACGCCTTCTGTGCCGTGCAGATTGCAATGATTGCAGCCTGAGGCGGCTGCACCTTGAAGCCATCAGCGTATGCCGCCTTACATCTCCAACACCATGTAATTCGTGTTTTGCGTCCAGTCCAAGACTTGGCCAAAGTGCAACGAAAGAGCCAGAGCTTCTCGAAACGTGCGAAATCGAACAAAGGTTTTGGCAAGCATTGGGATCAACCACTGTTGAGCCAGTCCATTGCATTTGTTTCAGGGTGAGGGGCGGAGGTGTGCTGGGGCATAGCTAATTTTAGGCGACTTTCGCGGATGCCCAGATTCATGAATGCCATGAACGGGCCGAAGATGATGTCTCCCACAATTGGGCTTAGGGAGGCCCGTTGGAATGCCTCAGCGTGCCACAGTTGATAGAGGAGTGGCCGCTATTGCGGAACAAGATGACCTGCAAGTGCGTTGGACGCGACTGCCCGCGGACGCATGAGTGGACATGCCCAGGGCAACCCATGTACCTGCCAGTTAGCATCAACGTGCCTCGCTGCCACCAGTGCGCAGCTTGCACTTGAGGACGCCTAGCTAGGAACTGGCCGTATTTTTTTCGTGGTGTCCGATATGGAGATCCTCTGATGTAGTTTAAGCAATTAGGCTGATACAGTGCTAGGGCTCCGAGCCCAGGACATGGTACGCGACTACGTTCATGAAGTTTTCTGTGGCTCCTTGGTAAGTTCTGCAAATTTGGTACGGTCGCCAGCAACAACTCGATCAGAGCTTTTGCTATGCTCACGAGCGCCAGCCTTGCGAAGAAAAGGCTTCGGAACTGGATCGTTCAAGCTTGCTTTTGGACCTTGGGACGTGGCCGAATCTCGCGGACTTGGCAAAGCCATGGCAGAGCCATAGCCGCGGCATGCCATGCAAAGCAGATGCTCAGAGGTCTCCGAACGTAAAGCCTCGCCTCGCTGAAACAGGATGCTTAGAAGGCACCAGTCCTGACACAGAATCTGGTATCTCTACCTGGTGCAGTTGCGCATGATACAGTCTAGTTTCACAGCGCTCTGGCGCTGCACTAGACCTCAGAGAGCGACCCTTGTATTTGGATCTTCTTCTGCCCAGGACTACATTCATGCCTACACAAAACAATTTCAATCAACAACCACGGTCCAAAGCAGAAACTATAGTTGTCCAATACTTTGGTGGTTTGATGCTCGAAGGACTTCACAATCTGCGAGTGTGATCTACCAGAGGATGGCCAGGTCCCATACCCATTTCCTGATCCTGACACTACTTCAGAGGTCGACCAGTGTCGATTGGCAGCTTCCCGGAACCGCAGTTGCTACGGCTCCGATTTTGGAAGATGACCGATCCGCAGAGCGGATCCACGTAAAATTTCCTGGATCACGTTGGGACGGGGTACTTGGCAAAGGACTTAGATTCGGCAGGCCCTTGGGGCATCAATGGACTGAGTTATGGCAGTGGGATCTGCCTATGCAGCAGCATTCCCCAAGAACACTGACAAGCCTCTCCTGAATGGCAATGTCCATCCAGGATCAAATGTGGAAGACTATTATGCTGCGGCAGCTGTCGCATCCCGCCAGCCTACGGTGATTGTGAAGATGTGCCGCAACGAGCAGCTTGTAGGCCCCGACATGTCTTCGAGGGGGAAGGCCTTGCGATCTGCGAACCTTGGCAGCTCCAACAAGGTAGCCTGCGAACATGCAACCCTCGAGGTGTAGAAATTTGGTTACTGTGCGAGTTTACGATGTATTCAACCAATACGAAGTTGGAAGGTGGTCTCACCGAAAATGCAATCCGAGCAATGGATTATTCTGGCTGTTATACCCCAACAGATACCATGCTCTTTGACCATGAGTTGAGGCCGAATCATACTTTGCCAACAACAAGGCTGGCTTTGGCTTGTTGACTTGGCCAGGTGAACCTACACCATGTTCAGCTCCCATGCTGGTGTGGAAGTATTAATCGTGAGCTCCTTGTCTGGCCGCGCCCTATATTGCGCCAAGCTCATGTGTGCCGCCTTTCCAGATGGCGTGCTGATGACTTGGCAGGGTATTGGCCACCTGCCAACGCCTGCTGGGTACCGCTCGTGTTTGGGCGATGGGCAACTACATCCTTACAGGTGCCATGCCACCTGACGGCTTTACCTGCCACCAAACCGAATTGCTGCAGGCGTGAAGACCGCGTCCGTTGGACTGGTGTTCTATACCGATCCTGTGGTCGGAAGATGAGTTTCGAACTTTGATGAGTGTTGCAAAAAATAGAAAATATATATATATAGACATATATATGTGAGAGTCGTCCGAAAGATCGTTGTATTGAGCTATGAAGGGGACGACCTTTTGGTCTTAGCGTTGACCTTCGCGAAAGTTCCGCGAAGGGGGTTGCGAAAGTTATTTTTTTTTTCCACGACAGTTTTGTATGGCTTGCTAACAGGAAGCTGGAGCGAGAAACCATGCGCATTTATCGGTAGTGCCCGTAGAGTAAAGTTGGCCGGGGAATGCGCAGATTGAGGGTCGCCGCAAGAATACGCCGTTGCAAAAGCAACCCCCAGCTAGCCTCCCAGAAACCAGCTTTTGGGAGGTTTGGAAGGTTTGAAGTTGTCGGGGCAAGCTGAGCGTAACTTCCAGCCGGATTTTCGCGAATGTTTGGCGTAAGATCCACGAAAGTTTCGCGAAAGTCGACGGACTTCCCCGCTAGTTTCTGGACATGAGGCCAACGGGTCCTCTTATGCGTAGCTTGCGGCTTGTGAGCTGGAGCTGCGGAAGCGCGTTTTGCGTGCTATTTTGGAACTGAAAGGTCGCGACTTTCGAGCTGGGATTGCGGAAGTTCACTTTGTGTACTACTTTAGCATTGAAAAGCTCTGACTTTCGAGACTGAGGAAATTTAGTTCATAAATTGCTTTTGCATTTAAGCACTGAAGAGCTGCGACTTTCGTGCTGGGGCTACGAAAGTGTATTTCGTTTATTATTTTTGGTCCGCGAAAGTTCCGCGATGGGGTCCATGTTTTTGTTTTTTTTAAGATGATGTTTTAGATAATTATTATATATATTATTATAATAAATAATTATATATAAATATGAAATTGAAAAGATTAATATAATAGGAATTGATTTTTTAAAAAAACAAAAAAATGAAATTGTTTATTTTTACAATATATTCTTAGATTTATAAGAAAAATTATTAAATAAAACAATATTGATTTATTGAGAATTATATATTAATATAAAAAAAATACAAGAATAAAAATAGTAATAATAATAATAAAATGATTTCGATTTATATTTTTTTTTATTTTGTATAGAATTATAAAAAATATATTAGAATATATAAATTATATTTTATTATATATATATAAAAAAATAGTTTTTTGTTTTATTAAAATTTATTTATTTATTTTTATATTTATTTAAAATATTTAAAAAAATATAGATATGGTTGTGTTGTATTACTTATTATATAATTATAATATATAAATATTAACAGAAATAGATGTAAATTAAGTAAGTGGGGATTTATTGTTTTTTGGTTATATGAGATGAAATTTATGATAGGAGAATATTAGAATTAGAATATTATTTAAATTTATTAATAACAGATAAATATATATAATTATATTTAAAGAGATAGAAATAGGTAATCTGAGTAAGTGCTTGAAAAAAAAGAAAAAAAAATCGAGAAAATAAATGATTGCGATTTTGGAGCCTTTGCTTTGGATCCTGCCTAAGCAAAATAGTTCGAAAAATTATATATTATATTAAATTGAAATTTAATTTTGGAAACCCAAATATTTAAAGATGAATTATAGATGGAATTTCTTAATACCTCAATATATTTCCCAAAACCTTATAATATGCAAATCAACAGTATATCGTAGGTGCCCGATACTAGCATAAAGACATTCAGTTAGTGAAAATCGATCGTCGAAACAAATATATACCTATAAATTATTTATTTTAAAAAATTTATATGAGTTTATGTTTACTAATATTTATATTTGTAATTAATCGATTGTTATGATTAATGGTATTGTCCTAATATATTGAATGAAATTAATTCGGATTTATCTATATTTAGGATATTTTTAAGCCGATAATATTATATATTTATTATAATAGTTATATATCAAATAAAGAATTTATTATATATATATATAATATTAGCAAAAATATATAACCACCAAATAAAAATATAATTATTTACATATAATAATTTTATTATAAATACAAATACAAAAATAAATATCGATCAAATATCAAGTAAATAATATCCTTCATAAATATATATATTCCATAATAAATTATATCAATATGAATTCGATTAATCTAAAAATTTATATATTCGAATTTCTTAAATTAATTTATTATTTCAAACCTAATTCTTATTATTTAATATCTTTATATAAAAAATATCATTTAAAGAATTTTATTAATATATTATCAAAAAATAAAATCCCAAAAAATATTTTATTTATTATTTCAATTCGATTTTCAAATAATTATTTTGTTTAACAATCATAATTAAATAAAACATTATAATATGTATATTTTAAAATTAGAATCAAATCCAAATTCCAAATTTTATAAATTCATAATAATTATTATTTTCAATACCAATTCAATTTCATAATTTCATAAAAATTAACCTATATAATATAAATGTCAATTAAATAGATAAACCAATAAATACAAAAATAAACAAAAAACAAAATCTCGCCCGCCCTAGATAATTTCCAGACATTTGCTAGCCTGCCGTAAAGAGGGAAAGCCAAGAAGCCGATCAACAGAGACGAGCGCCATATAAGCGAAAGAAAGAAGGATAAGCAGTGTTCACACCTTTGTTTGGCGTTGCTAATCATTAACACCTCTTAATTTAGAAAACGGATGATTTCAATCTCCTTAGCTCCCCGCAGCCCCCTCTTGCCTCACTCGTGCTCGATTTTTGATCTCGGAGTCGTGCGCTGGCAGGTGGATAGTTTACGGACGCCCAAACACGACAGTAGTGGAACGGGGGTTTCAGACACAGACAGACACAGACAGACACAAACAGACACAAACAGACACAGACAGACACAGACAGACACAGACAGACACAGACAGACACAGACAGACACAGACAGACACAGACAGACACAGACAGACACAGACAGACACAGACAGACACAGACAGACACAGACAGACACAGACAGACACAGACAGACACAGACAGACACAGACAGACACAGACAGACACAGACAGACACAGACAGACACAGACAGACACAGACAGACACAGACAGACACAGACAGACACAGACAGACACAGACAGACACAGACAGACACAGACAGACACAGACAGACACAGACAGACACAGACAGACACAGACAGACACAGACAGACACAGACAGAGACAGACACAGACACAGACAGACACAGACAGACAGACAAACACAGACAGACAGACACAGACAGACAGACACAGACAGACACAGACAGACACAGACAGACACAGACAGACAGATAAAGAAACAGATACCAGAGACAGAGAGACCAACAGACAAAGAGAGACAGAGAAAGACACCGAAAGAGAGACAGAGACAAAAAGAGACACACCTCCGCCGCGCAGCGTGCCGGATTCTGATGTCAACGTGCCACAGGCTTCGCCTGCGCACGTGCACGCGTCCGACTCCGAGCCCGAGAGCCGTGATGCAGACGGGCTGCAAGAACGCGCGTGCGAGCTCTCGGCTGCGCGCGATCCAAACTACCAATCCAAGCCGGGCCGGCAGCAACCCGGGGTGCCCAGTCCAAAGAGGGCCGCCGAACACCTGCAACCACCTCCTGGCCGCGGGCCAGAATGCAGCCGTCGTGGAGGGCAAGGAGAGCGGGCGCGTGACAAACCGTTTCCCACTGGCTCCACTGGGCGAGGGCGCCAGAGGACAAGCGGCCAGCGGCCGACCACCAGGCGGGTGCCAAAAAAGGGCCGAGCTCTCAGGGGCCAAGGTCCAGGCCGTGGTGGGTGCCAAGAACAGAGCAAATCTTATAGAGCCCGCGCCGGCAAGACATTTTTTGCAACTCAGGCACCAACATATCTTATCATCTCATATGTATCAAAAAATATCTACTCGTTGCGAAAAGCATGCTGCCGTTCTCCAAACACAGGTCGCGAGACGCACTGAGGGCCGGGCTGGTCGCGATAAGGCCACGCCAAAGAGTCAGTGAAAGGCGGTCGCCTGAGCAAGGTGAGAACGGATCCGCGGGCTGTTGGCCTCAAAAGATCCATCCACACACGCAGTTGTTGCAAGCGCAAGCGAAAACGCGATCGACCAGAAAACATCCTGGGTGCAAGCAATGCCGAACTGATTTCGCCCAAAGCATTGGGAAAAACACCACTGGTCGCAACAATCGGCCGCGGCTCACAGCTTCTCGCATCGCCAAACTCTCGGAAGATGGGCCAAGATTTCAGCCAAAATTGCTACGGACAGGCAGATATATGCCCCGACTCTTTATCTGGAAGACACAACGGCTTCGTTCAAAGCCCGGACCATTTTTCCCGAAATATTTGTAATATTTCGGGAAAACGGTTCCCGAAATATGCGGAATATTTCGAGAAAATGGTGGGTGGCTGCGATTATCCCGAAATATCTGGAATATTTCGGGAAATTGGTCCCTACAAAAAATGAAGCCACTACATCTTCCGGATTATGGCCGGGGTAGCCCGGACAGATTTGGGGAAGCGGTCCGTAGGAAATATGAAGCGGTTACATCTTCCAGCGGCAGCCCGGACCAATTTTCCGAAATATCCGGGATTTTTCGGAAAAGCGGTCCGGGAAAACGCGCGCAAATGCGACGAGCAAGCTTCACGGTTTCGTTTTATAGAGTAAATATAGTATATGTAAATATATATTATTATAATTATTTAATATATCAATTTATTTATTTAATTGATATTATTTTCAACATATATAAAATCGAATTAAATTATTTTTGTTATATGTATATGGTTTAATGATTTTCAATTATATCGATCTACCAATCCATCTATTTCTACAATTTTATCTCATTTGTTCTATTATATTATCTATTTGTGGATTTATCATAATATCTCTATATATATATATATCCACCTATCCATATACCCCTATCCTATTTTATCTTTTCTTAATAGTCTATCTGTCTAATCTATCAATATTTGTTTAATACGTTATCAAAAAGGAGCACATGCAAATCTGATGTTCGGGTTTGTCTGGGCTGTTGCGCTGCATCGATTATATACGTCTATTTTATCTATCTGTCTTTATTTCTTTCTCTCTAATCTATCTAATTTGTCAATCTATCTACCTTCCTATCTATCTAACCGAATCCTTCTGCACAATACATCTGCGTGACCAAGTAGGATGCCGTGCAAACTTGGCTCTTCGCTGGGTGGCATGTGCCTGAATGCTGCATTTTGTCTGTTGCTTAAATGTCCGAGTCTATAGCCAACACAATGTACATAGCCTCATGGGCCCTCGGCCATGGCTGGCCATTCGGCATGGGCCCACGCGCTTTAAAGCTGCGCGCTTGCGGCGCAGCTAATAACAAAACACCACATGCTCACATCAGCATCGAGCGCGCTACGGGCGCGGCGCACGCGCGGACCAGCACACTCCGCACATAATGTGTTGAACAGACTCGAAGGCCTTCAACCCCATTGGTATCCGAACTGGTTGCCCCACATTGGCTGCGATTGTACATATGGCATTTGGGTCTCTCCAGTTGCTTCGTTGTAATAATACGGCTGGCCACACTGGTTGTAATACAACGCCCAGCCGCTCTGATGCATCTGCGGCTGGCATGGCTGGCTAGGGTACATTGTCTGCCCCTGCGGTGGCTGATTGTATTGCGGCTGCAGCATGGCGTGCTGCTGCATCTGCTGCATGGCCTGCTGTTGCATCATCACTTGCTGCACCCACTGCTGCTGCACTGCCTGCTGATGCGCAATAGCATAGGCCGTGTATGTTTGCTGCATCTGTTGCACGTATGTTTGCCACGCAGCCCACTCCTCAGCTTCACGCTGCAGCCGCTCCTGGTTTTGGCCTGGTGGAGGCAGGCAAGCTCAAGCGCTAGAGGCACAAATGCACGCGTAGACACACACCAATGTCCCACGGCCCAGGGCAACCACAATTTTGGAAGCGTGCTAGCTCCACAAGCGTCATTGATCAACAATCCAAGCCGGACACATCCAAACAGCATAGTTACGTCTTGAGAGACCTTACTACAAGCCTAAGCATTTTGCTGATCGGGCGCAGGACCTCCAGAATCGGAATGGTCGGATGTGTTTGTGTTGCTTTGCATTTGTTTCAAGGCTTCTCTCGCAAAGTAAACCTGTTTTGGCGAGGCATTTGTGGAGGGAGGGGGGGCATTACCACACGGCTTGGCAAAGCAAACTAACCCACAATGCCAAAAAACCTCCTGAGAATGCTGAGCTACCTGGCCACCGCTCGGTCTGTACTGAGGCACCGACGGATGGCCATGCGAATGGCCTCTTCGTCTACCTCTCTTTGCTTCTGTTGATCTGCAGACTGTCCGTTCTTGTAGAAGTCGAGCAACTGCTGTAGCTCGAGCTTTGCTGGCTCCATCGCAACGGAAGGACCAGCCAATTCCAAGCCTTGGCGAGGGATGTGTCACAGAAAATGAACTCTGATGATTTGAGATGCCGATGCATTCTTTCAAGTACTCGGTCACAAGGCAAATGGAGATGTTCAACAAGCTTGATATCATTGCTTGAGGGCCCTCCTCGCAACCATTCGGCACAACACTGGCGTCAAAATGTGCCTCCCAAATGATGTAAATCTTCAAGCAGGAGTCACACCTAGAATCAGCACACTAAACGATACAATGTCCAATTAGGGTATGCAGGTGGCACCTTCAATTGCCAAGTGTCCCAACTTAGAGATGGTACAATCGATGGCAAACTTAGAAGCCAACATCTCCAGGTCCTCATGGAAGCTCAAAGGCCAGTGAGTGGCGTCATGTGGCAAGTCCAGGGTCTCAAAAGTTGCCGGATCCACCTCAATGATGGCGCCATCCTTGAACTTTGCGCCGAAGGTGTCCGCAACTGCATCTTCACTTTCGAGTCCGATAAGATTAGTTCCCTCTATGGCAGTCACGGTGCATCCGGCAGTAACATGAGGCTGTCCCGGCTTTTCCTCTACTTCATCCACATGCATACCCCAACATGTTGGGGTGAGGGTCATTCCAGCTCCTTGCTCTGCATGGACCACCAAGTAGGGTTTGTCAGGCTTGTCTTTTGACTTGCCTTTGTCTTTGCCTTTTCCTTTGCCTTTGCCCTTCTCCGCGACGGGCTGAGGAGGCTCTTCGGGCTCGGGCAAGTGTCTCTCTTCCTCCGGGGGCGGCGCCTCATCCTGCGGGCAACAAACAGAAAACAAACCGAACAACGCGCTGAAGTTGTGCGTAGACACCACGTACACATGTCAGTAGCATGCTTCTGGGACCAATAGGAAGACTTTAAGACAATATCAGCATGAAGCCCAAGCCAGGCTAGACAACATAAAATTTGCCTCATCCTTTCTCCCTGATAATATTAAACTGCCCCCCCACTCCCTAATAATTGAACCCCTCACCGGAGTTTGGGCCAAACCTGTTTCAGACTGCATTGCGCAGTGCTGGCATCAAATACGAAAGGGGGACGCCTTGGAAAGTGCGCAAAATGCAATTTCAGAGTAAGAACTTCTTTAAAGGGAAGGCACAATTGTTTCTTGTCAAAACGAAATCTTCTCAAGGGAGCCAACCCAATGGAGAGCCTACGAGAATACCCGTCACGTAAGGCAACTGTTTGGTGACCCCTAATAAGCGCATCCGCAGAGCTTCGCTGACTGGATATGGGCTCGGAAGAGTTTTGTCTTGGTTTAGTGTTGGGTAATTTAACACAAGTATTGGCTGTTTTTGGGGTCAGCTGGGGGGGCTATTGTTGAGCCGGCTCAAGCAAAGCAATCCCTAACACAAATTTCTCCAGCACGCCCGCCCCAAAGCCCGCCTGCAAAGAAACCTGGCAGTGACTGAAAAAATACTGGCGCCTGTCATCCCCAATCTCTTGCACTGGCCTGTTTCAGCTGTAGTTCCTTTGCCAACAGAAACGTCCCAAGTTCGGACGTGTCCTGTCCCGAAATGTGTCCCTTTCAATTTCTTCCTTCCTGTATTCCTTTGTTTCTCTCATTCATTCTTGCTTGCTTGCCTGCTTTCTTTCTTTCTTTCTTTCTTTCTGTCTAAGTATCTTTTTATCTCTCTATCTATCTATCTATTTGTCGATCTATCTGTCTTTCTATCCGTCACTAGACCTTGCGAAAGTGCCGCGCCTGCTACGAAATCTGTACTTGGCCTTGCGAAAATGCTGCGCGCGCCACCAAATCTGCACTCGACCTATCAGTTTGTTACTTTATCACTTGAATTTGCGAAAGTGCTGCGCCTGCCACGGAATCTGCACTTCACCTTGCAAGGTGCTGCGCCTGCAACGAAATCTGTACTTCACCTTCACCTTGCACGGGAACAACATGCTGCGCCTGCCACAAAGTCTGCACCTCAGGTTGCCAAAGTGACGGGCCTGCCACGCGATTTACACATCCGTCTATTTGATCTCTATATATATATATATTTCTATCTATCTGTCTATCTACCTGTCTATTTACCACCTGACCTTACGAAAGTGCTGCGAAAGCGCTGCGTCTGCCACGCAATGGAAATCTGCACTTGACCTTGCACGGGAACAACATGCTGCGCCTGCCACGCGATTTGCACCTCCGAAACAGTCTGAGCGGCCGTGCCATGGGGGAATTTTCCGAGACCGTGGTACCCTTCGCGATTCGGTCGGCCTCTACCTTCTGATTCTCACCAACTCTATCTTCTGACTGTGATCAACTTTTCGTATTACGGAAGTTTCTAACTAAACTTCCTTAATTTGGTTAATATCAAGAAAGGGACAAACCCCGCAACAACTGCCTTGAAATCATGGAACCCGGCCTGGGCCAAAACAGGGCCTTCCACACAACGCCAAGCTATGTGAAAGCCCCAACACTAGAATCACTAGTATGACGTTTGCCTCTAGGCTGCGTGATGTCCAAACCTTCGCACTTTGCATGCAGTCAGAGTCTGCCTGTCCTCCTCCCGCTTGCGGCCGGCATACTTGGGCCCGGTGTTCAGCAAACCTGCCCAGCTCTTGCCCTTGGGCTTCTTTGGTGCTGGTGCTTTCTCCGCTTTCTCTTCCGTCTTGGGTGCTGGCGCGTAGAAAGATCGCCCGTGCTCCTCGGACGGCACGACCAGCTCGTTCATGAGCTCCTCGGCTTTTTCCACCTGGTCATCGGCCACGCCCGTCATTTTCGCCTGGATGATCGCCTGGACCAGGGCAGTTGGGTCCTTGCTCCGCATCGCAGCCTGCAGCTTCTTCGACGCTGACAGGGACTCCAACACGGTCTCCGCTTCGTCGATGATGCTCTTCTCGATGCCGGCTTCTTTGGCCTGAGAAAGCAGCTGACACAATTCTGGCAAGTGCCAAGAGCCGAGGCGTAACGGGTCCCTCCCTGACCACCCCCTCCTTTTTGGTTGGCCCGAACGTTTTGACAATGCACCTGAGAGATGACGCTCTTGAGCACTGCCTCATCTTCCGCCTTGATGGCATCTTCCAGGGCCTGTGTGATCTCCCGGGCCTTTTTGCCCGCTGCCGACACGTTCCGCTCCGCCTTCTGGGTCCGCGACAGCTTCGCAGGCGCCGGGTTGTTCGTGAGGAACTTTTTTCTCAGCTCGGTGACCTGTTGCGTTTTTGTGCAGGTAACATTTCTCAAATGGTTTTGAAGGGAAACCATTCGAAGAACACTCTGCATTTTAGCACGCCTTGGCGTCCACATCGTGGGGCAGAGCCGTCACATTGTAGCCTCGGAAGGCCCTCACATCAGCCTTCCCAAGCTGGTGAAATCCCAGCCAGTCACGGATGAGATCACTGGAGGTAGAGAGCCAGGTGGGGATATTTCCTCAGCAAGCACCCTGCAGTGACCACCTGTGACCCTAGGACTCACAAACATGCCCTCTGCCGGAACATTGTTGTTGTTTTTTTTTGCCGTCGGTTCTGTCAATCAACGCTCGGCTGAGCCCCGGGCCGATCACCACGCAAAGCCGCTTTGCGCGTGAGAGGGCCACATTCAGTCGCCGCCAATCTGCGACGAAGCCGACGTCTCCACGCCGATTCGCACGGACCAAGCTCAAGATGATAACCTCGCGCTCACTGCCCTGGAATGCATCCACGGTCGACACTTGGACCGACAGCTGCGCATTGTACGGCAAAGACCTCTGAATGAGCTTCACCTGCAGCGCCAATGCCCCTAATTCGTATTGGCCTGGTTGGATCACAAAGTGCCAACGCCTTAAGCCTTTCGACAGCCCTGCCTGCGCCCCATAGGGGGAGATAATGCCAATGTTCTCAGGTCTGATTCCAGCCTGAGTCACCTGCTCAACGATCCAGGCTGCGCAGTCGGCTTCCTGCTCATTTTTCTTCGAGGCCCCGCCGGAGCTCTCGATAGCATCCACATGCAGAAAGCAAAGCGGGGATCGGAAGGGAAGCCCAGAAGGCAGTTGGCGATCCGCGTCGGTCACTGCATTCTTCAGGTCCCCCCGGTAGAAGCGCCATGATGGGAAAGCGCTGATGCAGGGATGCATTCGATACTGGTCTGTCAAGAGCGTGTACTCCATGCCCATGGACAAGAGGCCTTCGATGTCTCGGGTTGGCTGGGGAAACATCAAATCACACGTATGCATCATCAGATTTCCGCTGGGAGTGCATTGCAGGAAAGGTATTGGCCGCATGGTGGCACCCTCCTAAAAAGCAACAGTGGCCAGGTGGCTGCTCATGTGAATCGGACCCCAAACAATCGCCTTTCTGCATTGATCCATACCATACTGTTTGGCTTGGCCAACAACTGCCGTTGCTCGCTAAAGTGCGGCTCAGGATCGGTCAAACATGGAAATATCCAAGCCCTTGGTCTGTGCCTCTTGGCTGAGCACCGTAGCAGGCAACTGGCACTGGTCCCCAACCATGACCGCCTGCACTGCACCCTTGCCCAAAGGCAAGATGACCGCAGGCTCAATGACTTGGGCTGCCTCGTCAATAACGATGAAGGGAAAGGTCTTGCTATCCAAGGGTCCTGAGAGCTTGCTGCAGGGCACCGAAAATACACCAAAACCAGAAGAAACAAACACAAACCCACAAAGAAGCACTCCCCTGCCGTGTGGGGTGTTCAGCAAGAGGCGCCCATGCCGCAGCCAATGCAGGTCGCACAAACCACATCCACAGTCTCAAAGACAGCCTTCATGCCCTTCTCGCCTCTTCTCATGCCGATCTCCCCCAGCCGCGTCTCCAGGGAATACGGCTCTTTGGCGGAGCATAGGCCCATGCGCAGCACGCGGACCCCCAATGCATGCAGCTGCTGGGCAACGTTGTCGCAGCCCTTGTTGCTGAAGGCCGACGCCAGCACCGGCCCGCGGTTGGTCTTCAGCCACTCGCAAATGATTGCCGAAGCCGTGGTGGTCTTTCCGGTCCCTGGAGGGCCCTGGATCAAGGTGAAGCGCTGCCTGCACCCAGCAAAGGCAAGTGACCACATGGGAAGAAGCAAGCTTGCATCCTCGCTGCACCAACAAGCTCATGGGGAACTTGACTTCGGACATAAAGACATGAAGCGACATACCGTTCCCTCCCTGCCTCTTATCCAGAACCATATCGCACGCATTCTGCTGAGACTCATTCAGGTCCTTCTTCCCAAGATCCTGGCTCTTGGCATAGTACTTGTCTGCCCCAATGTCTTTCTCGCGCGCCGCGCGGCTAATGTCGGCTTTCGCGTTGGGGGCCGCTCTTGTCAAGGGATCCCACTTGGCCGCGGCGGCGGCAGACTCCCCGATGTCCGCGTAGAGCGCATCTGCAAGAGGGGCGCCAGGCAGAAGCAGCCCGCAGAGATTCGCATTGTAGTTCCTGTACCGTTGGCTGAATGGTGGTAGGCCAGAACAGGAGCCGGCGGCCTACTGTTCCGACTGTTCCCCTCTTTTCTACACAGCTCAGACAGCAACAAAAAAATCTGAGCCAACAGCGGCAAAGCTTCAGCTTCTGGATGGAATCTCGAGGGTTGGCGGCCTGGTCCACCCCCAAACACCGCTGCAACTCATCCAGCATCCGGTCAATCCGCTTGTTTGCCACAATGTTTGGGCCAAGGTCAATTCTGAACAAATCGTTGCCGTTCCCCGTGGACGGCAGTCTCTCATATGGCGTGCTGAGAGTGATGGTTCCATCACGAAGGCTTTCCACTTCGGCTGAGATGGTCTTCTTGGGATCCTCCAAGTCCACGCCGCCATTCACCGTGCTGAGGAGGACGGCACGCCCAAACTTGATCTCCGACAGGTATGGCATCCTCCAGCCATCTGGCCAAAGAGAAATTCGGCCGTAGACTGGGTCAAACTCAGCACATAGGCCGGCGATGCCGATACCCTCATCTTGCAGCTGGCGAGTACTTCTCTTCGTCACCTTCTCCAGCACAGCCTGACGCTCAGCTTCGTACTCGAGCTCAAGGCTGGAGGTGAAGTGTCTTACATAAGCATCCAGGGAGGTGCGCCACTCTTGCCTCGTCTGCAAAGGACTGGCACTAAACATCCTGCCGAAACCTAGCGACATTTTAGAAGCAGTGCCAAAGAACGATGAATTTGCAGCAAGGCGTGCCGAGTCCAAACAAGTTGCGTAATCCCTCCTGCTTGGGCCACGGTTCGCCAGCCATAGGGCGTCAGCACAAATTGGGGGCCTGAGTCGCCCGCATCCTCAGCCACTTCGGCAGGCCCGGCTCCGGAGACCCGGGTGGAGTGCGCGACCAGGTTCCCCGCCTCTGCAATCCACTTAAAGCCCCCAGACAGGGGAGGAGCTCCTCCACTTCCGTCGAAAGAGATGGAGAAGGTGGCCTCCTTGGTGTACACATGGGGGAACAAGGGTACACCGGAAAGCTCCTTGCCGAACGTGAAGCAATCCCCGGGGATCTCGCGGCCGTTCTTGAAGTACAAGATCGCGCGGCGCTCAAGGTCAAGGCAGCAGGTGACGGCGTCATCTTTGCCGAAGGTTTGGCCGAACTTCTCAAAGACGCCGGCGTGAGATTTGGTGGCAGTGCCACCGAAGCCCCACGACAACCGATCCGTCCCAAGGGCAAGCTTGGCATCTGCTGTCGACCAACCAATCCGCAAGTTGCCGCCTGTTTCGTTCCATACACAGAAGGCCCACAGGCCTTCTCCCCCGACCCCGCAGTCGGCGCGTACACCAGCCCATTGCGTGCCGCTGTCCGTCTTCCTTCGGGCACGCTCTCTAGTGCCACTGCCGCTAGCGCCCATCAGGGTAAGGCCCGCCTCGCAGTCCTTCACATTGAGACGAATGCTCTCTCCGGGCTGCAAAGCCTCACCGGGCTCCCTGGATTTGCCAGGCGCAGGTGTGGCATCCTGTCTGTCTTGCTTTCCCTTGCCGCTTTTACCGCCGCCTTTGCCATTGCCCTTGTCCGAGCGCTCCTCCTCCCTCCTGCCTTTGCCTCCTTTCCCTTTGCCTTCTCGCCCGCCGTCACGCCAATTGTCTTCTCCCCAGCCGCCTCCACCTCCGCCACCGCCCTTCCAGCCGGAGTTCCAGCTCCAATTGCCACCCCAGCCGGACATGCTGAATGGATGGACGGCTCTTAAATTGGGCCAAGCACTGCAACATACAATGTCGTCAACTGGACGTGCTGGCTTTGTGCTCGAACGCTGTGGCCTCCGCTTATTCCTGGCATATGGACTCAACTCGCACACATTTTCCCCGCCTGCGCTGTCGCAATTCTAAGCTCACCCCTCGCAATAAGGTATTGTCGGAAAGAGTGCCTAAAGTTAAATTTGCAGCCACGGTCGATGGCTTCTGCAATCCCTCTCATACGCGCTGCAGTTGCCCGACGCCACTAGCCATAGCAGCGGATCTCCTGCAGGAAATTATGGCCAAGTCTGCAAGGTGTCTGCTTGCTTTGTGCTTGCCACGTCCGTCTGGCTCTGACTTTTCAAGGACCCAGTTCACCTGAAGCGGCAGGTTCTTTTTTACAAATGCGTCTGGGTGGGAGGATCGTTCGAACGTTGCATAATATGTACCTGTCTCTGTTTCTTTGTTTTCTCTCTCTCTCTCTCTCTCTCTCTTGCCCTCTGTCTCTCTGCATTCGACGCTGCGTTCGCAAAGAATACCACCCCCTACTTTCGACATGGTTGCAAGCGCATTCTGAGGCGGATTTTGCACAAAAAACATTGATTTGAACAGCGTAGCATATTATTAAGCCTTAGTTGGCCTTTGCTGCTCCTCCTTGCTGCCCTTTTCCACGCTCTGTGGCTGGCCAAAGCGCCCACCCTTGGCCAGGTACTGCTGGTGGACTTCCTGTCGCACGTGGCGAAAACTGTGGCAACACAGAGGTGCCAGTTCTTGCTGCCTGTCGCGCTTGAACATCTTTGGACAAGGGATGTGTTTGAAACGCCTGGTGCAAGCCGATTGAAATCGGCAAGCTTGGATTACACGCTACTTGCCTACAAAGGTGCCATGCCGTCCTCCGCAAGCCAGAAGGGCGCAGCAGCTTCTACTTCTGTCACCACCTTTTCGCCAAGACGCTCCTGGAGCCAGATCTTTGCACCATGATAAATGTTGACCATTCCCTGGATCCTCCATCCCACTCCTTGGGTCCTCCATCCCACTCCCAGGGTCCTCCAAGCTCTTAATGCTCGCTTCGGCGGCCGCTTTCTGCTCGTCGTTGTGGTAGTAAATGCCGCTACGGTACCTTCGTGGATTGCAGTGTGACATCCCATGACTGGAGTGCATGCTACTTGATGTGGCATGAATTCCAGACTTGCCGTGGCACTGCGTCCCTTCGTCATTGCCTGCCTGGGCAGACGCTGGCATCGGTGATTCCAAACTCTGAATTAAATACCTTGCTCTGCCCCTCACAATTGCAGCTGGAATGCTCGATTCAAGGTAGTTGCATTCTTGCCCACTCTCTCCCAGAATGTCTCCAGAAGCTGCTCAAACGAGACCGCAGAAGGGTCATACACGACCCGAACGGCCTCTGTATGACCAGAGCTGCCGGTGCAAACCTCTTCATACGTTGGCTTCTCAGACTGACCCTGCGCATAGCCCACGCTCGTCCCCGTCACGCCCGGCGCCCTCTGAAAGGCAATCTCCACGCCCCAAAAGCAGCCAGCGGCAAAGGTGGCAAACTCTTTCCCGGCAGGCGGCGTCGAAGGCGCCAGCAGCTCCTTAAATTCCACAAAGCCGATCTTGAAGTTCAGCGTCTGACCAGCCAGCGGCGGGTTTGCGTCAATGGTAACCTGGTCATCCATGTTCCATGGCCAAGCAATGTCTAAACCATTCTAAACCTGCCTAATTGGACTGAGGCTGGAGCAGTGCCATCTGCAGCAATCTGGGTCACCATTGCAGGGATCTTTCTGGCACCTGTCGTGCCCAATTCCACCGACATTCCTTCCTGACGCTTCACGGATAAACATCAACGCGGGCAAAGCATCCCACATCTGGCCCCCGCACCCCTCTCTCACATTGCACATCTCACAGTTCTCAGCCTCACATGCCTCACAAGCCACATGTTGTCGCATGGCTCTCCGTCCTCCAAACCCTGCGGCGCTTTGTCTGCAGGAACCGTCATGACCAATGCCTCAGCTTTGTCTGCAGGAAGCAGCAGCCAAAAGCTGGTGGCGGCGCCTCGTTTCGCTCTCCATAGGCCTTTTCAGGTGGTATGGAGACCTTGGCAACTAACAAGCTTTGCACAAAGTTACACGTATTGCTCTGCAGGCAAAGGGTGCAAGCTCCCCGCTTCAGTTTCATCACCAGGCTTTAGCCCACGCACGGCTTCTTCGAAACCTGGAATCACCTGCAGGCTCACAGATTTTCAGCACCGAGTGCGGCACAATCAGCCGTGCCTGCCCGCTGCCCAAGGTGAATGTCAAAGGCGACCGGCCCGCCGTTGAGTCAAAGACCGTCCCGTCCTTGGCATGTCCGTGCCCGGGTCATGGAACATCGAGTCTTGAAGGTTTGATTTCTTCCGGGGGTGGCTCACGCTTGTTCGCTTCATCCCAGAGAAACGAGCACGAGCCCCAATCTCCCTGAACAAGTTCAACCCAGTGGCTGAAACGCGTTCATGACAAATCATGGAAGGCAGCCAGTGGGCAAGCCACAAGGCCGTCTCAAAAAGCTCCGGCCTTCAGCTTGCCCGTGTAGTTGATCAAGACCGCATCCCCTCAATTGAGTTTTTGCAAAGGGCAAGCCTGTCCAGAGAAACAGCTGTCGCGAAGCGAACACATCAATCGGTGCCATGGCAGGGGCTCCATGGTCAACACCGCCAGGATGGCAACAGTTTGTTCAGGCATGGTGGCAAGGTCATGGTGGAAGCCTGGGCCTAAGTTTTAGCACTGTCCTGGTTGATTGAAGCGATTCACGATCCCTAACCTCAGGTGACAAAACGTCAAAACGAATGAACTTGGCAAGCTGCCATCAGCAGCGACTCTTTGCTCGTCCCCGGCTGCCATCGCCAGATTTCTTCGAAGACCGGCAGTGCAACCAATGGTTGCAGCTGCGAGGGACCTTGCAGAATAGCAGCTGATAGCTGGGACTCCAAAAATCCGCATGCCAAGGCTAAAGCAAGAAAGCGCTGGGCGCGTGGCGCCAAAGGAGCTTGGCATCCCGTGGCTCCAGTCTGAGGTCAGCTCTGCACGTCAGCCGCTTGCACAGGCCAAGCTGAGGCCGGCTCTGGTCTGGCCGAATAGCGGTAGAGCCGCGCCTGGCCCCATCCCCGAAATCCCGTTCGATTTCAATGGGGCTGCGCCCAAATTCCGCCCGGAGCCTGTGACAAGGCCTGGCCCTGCCACGGCCGAAGTGCCAAGCCGCGCCAGGCCTGGAACCAGCTTCCGCGATGCGCAAGCCGACAGCGCACGGTGCCACATGCAGCTCAGCCCACGACAGTTGCGCACTGCATGGCTGTCATCAAGCAACTTCTAAAATTATCGTCTCTATCAAAGGCATATGAGCAAATGTCCGTGATTGTTGGACATGCGAAAATGCCAAGACGTGCCAAGAAGCCAACCTGAGCAGGCGCTTGAGCACAGGCAAGAATGATCACTCTTGACTCTTCATCCAACTTGCTGCAATCTTGAATCGGAAATCAATCGCAAGCCATGTGCAGACTGCGCGGCAGTGCAAGATACTCGTACTTAGCCTAATAGCATGCACATGTCATCAAAGCACGTTGCTGGCAGATTTTGCGCTTCTCGAGGTCTTTGTGCAAAACGTCTTGTGACTGAATGCACTGGGGGAAAAAGTCCGACGCGCTGAAAGCCGCAGTCCGGGAAAACTGAATGTACATAAGACCACGGCGTGGCAATTAACTCGCCTGTGCTTTTTGCAGGACATCCTGGAGCGCAGTGCTGGACACCATTGAGCCCTGGGGGTCGTTTGCGCAGTCAGCAGGCTGACTTTGGACTTAAGACACAGTGCTCGGAAGTGTGCTAGTAGCTGTTTCTGGATCAGAAAGGAAGTAGGTGATCGCAGGCCGGCAGGGTATTGATCTCGACAGTGCACGCCGGCGGTGGGTCAGCTCCAAATCGGCTAGTCTTCCAAGCTACGTGTGTAAGATCTCATGTATCTTGAATCAGGCTGTCGAACTATTGCTTAACCGCAACGCCAATCACAAACGTGCCCCGTCTCCTGGGCAGCGTGGTTGGCTCTGTCAAGCTGCAGTGCTCGGGCTGCCCATGCTGCAGCCTTCTGCGCAGCCTGAGTGGGCCATCGGCGGCAAAGACGTCAAGTTTCAAACTGCGCAACAACTCATAAGCATAAGTATGCTGCAGCAAGGGCTCAAATGCAAGTCGGAAACGCGCATTGCTGTCTCTTCCCCCCCTTAACCCCTTAACCCCTTAACCCCTTTACCCCTTTACCCCTTTGCCCCTTTAATTACCCCATTACCCCATCACCCCATTACCCCTTTACCCCTTTACCCCTTTACCCCTTTACTCTTGTACCCGAAGCGAGCAACATGCGGCCCTGATCTCCTCGCATGCTGTGCAGCATTGACAGCCACCGTGCCCAGTGCAGAAGAATGCCAGGCTCAGCATTCTTGTCTGGATGTCATGCCCGAAAAGAGGCGCCCTCCAGAGTCCAAAGAGAAGGATCTCCCCCAAAGCCATCAACAAATTTTGGGTCCCTCTGGTTCACCTTTGGGAGCACCACTCGGGTGGAAAAGTATGCCGCCGCACACGCTTTGCCCGGCCTCAGGGCGCTTCACCATGAGCTCCTACGGGTGCAAGGACAAAGTGCAACAGCGCCGGGCACAAGCAAAGCGAGTCAAACTTTTGCGGCTCCAGCTCGGCAGCTTTCACCAGCACTTCCGCGCAAATCTTGTCGACTTCTTGTCCTTGCAGAAACCACAACACAACATACCACGCAGCCCTGGCACATCCAAAACCTCTGAACCCGACTGCAGCCAAAAGTGCGAGGATACCAAGCTGGGAAGGGCTCAATGCCATCGATCGTACCAAGCACCTTGCAAGGATTGATCCACAAGGTGCCACATGTAGCTGACGCTGCAATATCAGAATTTCAAAAGCGACATGTCTGACATGCTGTCCATCGCCCAACAATTGAGCTTCTGAGCCCGTGGCACCACCAAAAGCGAGAGCTCTAGCATAGCAATCGCCAGCGCCATCCGGATCGCCGGCCTGCGCACGGCCCGTGCGGCTTCCCTCAAATCGCAACCCAGCCGATCTTCAACGTGCATCGGTCGGATCCCATCAAACGGCATTGCCAGGAACAGACCCGACCTCTATCGCCATCTCACCTGCAAGTCGCTTGGCAGCCAAACAACCAAACAATGCATGAAACTGCTCGCCTGCCTGCTCTTTTCCATCCAAAAACCTCACCTGTTCGTTCGATGGGTGACATGACCTCTGCCCTCTTCTCGACCTCCAGTGAGATCTGCACAGCTCTGCAACTCTGCCAGCCCATCTGTGCCCCGCCTCTGCTTGCAGAATCTGCAGCAAGTCACTCTCCGTCCCTTCAACCTCTTCACGCTGACACCCAACCCGAAGCACACAGGATTGAACTCAGGGGACTGAGGGATGCAACAATGCGTAAGAGTCAAGCAAGATGGCCTACCCAGAAACATGTAAAGAAGTCGCCCTTTCTTGGGAATCTCCAGTACTAACCTTCCACCAGAGTTTGGATCACTGTCGGGCCACACCCAGCAGGCCTTCTCGAAGCCGACATCCTTCCAAAAGCCAGGCGGCAGCGCGGACTTCTGCGGCTGGCAGCATTCGCAGTTTTCTGCGTGCGCCTCATTGAAGTCAGCGGCAATCTGCAGCTTGCCGGGCTTGCCTGGCGCGTTCCGGGGTACAAGGCTTCACGGGCAAGTAGCTCTTTTTTCCACTTGCAAACAGCTCCTTGAAGGACTATGCAAGTTTTGCAGGCCAACTTGCAGCTGAACTAGTTGCTCAGGTTGAAACTGTATTTTTGAACAGGACGAGGCTTCTTGTACCAGCTGTTGCCTGACACCAATTTCATATTTCATTTTTTACTGATGCGCTGCTTGAATTTTGGCCCAAAAGCGAAGCGCAGAGCCGCTGCTATTTGATGCCAACGCTATCGTAACAGTTGTCAAGCCACAGCTTCCTTGCTGCTTCACCCATGCTTGTCCAAGTCTCTTTGACTTTTAAGGTTGTGGTCTGCCTGCTTTCCTCTGCTTGAGTTTTCATTGCTCGTTGCCTTGTTAGTTGCCGTGCCACAGACCAACCTTCCGCATTGCCCGTGGAGCCTGGTTGGCCTGGGGTGTGGCTCAGCGGAATATCCCATCTTAGGGTTTAGGACTGGGGTAGTTGCTGGCCTCGGTTATGTCTCTCGTGAAGACCAATCAATCACCCATCTCAAACCTCCTGACTCATGTCCAACCAAACTACTGTACTGCTGCCTGCACAAAACTTCCTGTCGAGAACGATTTCAGCAGCAAAACCTTGACTGTTGTTCCAAAGCATTTTTTCAGAAGTACCACATCATGTTTGCGCCGAACTTCCAGAGTCGTGAAGCAGCCCTTCGCACAATGGCTGAGCAAGCTTCTTTCTCCAGGTTTGTCTTGGCATATGCCCCCGGCCCCCTTCTCCCCACCTGCTCGGTCTGGCCGCGCGGCACCAGCAGGTGGGGGCGGTGGCAAGTCCATGGCGCAGATTGGGTGCGAGGACAAAGGCTCGAACCGTTCCCCTTACAAGATTGTCACGGGAGAACGGTTCACTTGAAGCACGCACTCAAGTGCATGTGTCATCCGCTGCAAGCTTGTGCTCCAACATGCGCTGCTTTGACTGTAACGCAGGCTGATGGCTGTGCTCCAAGTGTTGCGCACCAGCACTGTCCTTGGACCCACCTTGCCATGCCCTTCTTTTTTACAGCAGCGTCGGTCCACATGTTGCCTGAAAAAGGGAGGATTCTGTGAGGGAAGGCTTTGCAAAATGCAAATAAAACATGGCGAGCAACAAGCACTTTCTTTTGCCCGCACTTGCCCGGCTCATCCATTGAGAACATAGAACCGCACAGGTGACAGCAGGCAGGTCTGTGGAAGACTCGGGCGCAACCTCCATCATTTGGCCCAGGTTGGCTTCTCAGCGTCCTCGCGAGAATCACACAGGCTGGCAGCCATCAGTGAAAAGCAGGCGGGAGTGGCCGTCCTTGGGCTGAAGCCTTGTCATCGTATACGCTTCTCCGGCGCCCGTCTTCATTGGTGAAAGATACAGGTTCTGGATCATGAAAGGCAGTCGCGCGCCTACGCATGTCTCTCTTCTCCTTCTCTCCCCCCTCCCCTCTCTGAAAGTAAACCTATGGCAGCTGATTGCAAACCCATACCAAGCTTCGTCTTGGTTACTTGGGCGTCCGCCGCGTTGTGGCATGACTTCCAACACAAGGGCAACAAAGATGGGCCACAAGAAACCTTGTGCAATACTTCTAGCGCACACCACCCGCATGCAACATGGCAAGTCAGCGTCGGTACATTGAGCAACAATTCATCCTCTTCTCACTCCCCTGCACTCTGCACTCTGAGCATGCATCATCAGCAGCTGACTACTACATGCGCCCATCGTGAATACTTTCCCCGCAAAGCAGTGCACAGCAAATGTGCATAGTCCTCATGGAAGGTCTGACGACCATTCAGCACTGCTGCCTCCTCCTCCACCTCCTCCTCCTCCGCCACCGCTGCTCTCTGGGCTGGCTCTGTCTGCGATGGCCTGCATCCGGTTGAATGGACGGAGGTGGGGGCATGTCTGCGAGACCCCGTGCTTTCGCTGAAGCTTTTCACAGCCGCAGGTCAGGCGAGCCTTTCCGCGGCCTCCTGACCAGCCCAGCCTCACGCTTCATCTCCACCGGGGTCAGCACATCGTCCTGCGCGTCTGCAGTCTTGGGATTCGAAACCCCATGAAGCTCGTTGGTTGGGTGGGGCAGGGTCCACGTCACAAACAGTCCCAAAGGCACACATCAAATCCAAAATGTCATGCGATTCAATCGCCCGGGCCTCATACTTCCTGGTCTGCAAAGCAGCCGACCAGCCTTGCGGGGCCTTGCCCGCTTGAGTGCGCCGACCAGGGTACGCCCCTGGCATTCGGCAAGTCAGAGCGAGAAGCAGCGGCGGCATAAGCTGCAAGGGTTCAACTGATCTAAGATACAGAAAAACAAGAGCCCAAAGCAGGCCTGGATATGGACTGTAGTTTGCCATTGCCACCTCTCTTCAGCAACGTCCAAGTGACGACGGCACTGCAATGTCCGCATCTGTCAGGTGTGCAGCCAAGTGGCGCTCTGAAAGCTCGTGGCACAGCCCGCCCACTCTAGCTTGATGGGAAAACAAGCGAAACGTGCACATGGCAACGACTCAAATTGCGTCAGGCAATGCCATCAATGCATGCAACTTGTGGGACCAGGAGATCGTGAGATGTCCTTGTTTTTGCTCACTGTGCCGAGGCGTGCGGACGAACCATTGAGCCCCAAGTGGAGCAACCAACCCAGCATTGCTTCACCCAAGAATTTTGAGATCGAAGCAGCCTTGGCCAGACTACTCCCGTGAAGAGATGTGTGTCGCAAGCATTGTAGGCCTTGCTGAGCCGCACGCGTGGCGACACGATTGACCGCATTCATGAGCCATCCACCTGCACTTGAGCTTGCAACGCAACACCCCTGGCCCGTTACAGCTTCAGTCTCACCCTAGTAGGTGTGGGGTTCACTAGCGTTTTGGCAACAGCTCTGTCTGCAGCTGCTTGATTTTCGGCTTACTCTCACTCACGCCCCATGCTCCGTTGATGTCCGATTGCCTACCAATTGTCTAGTCACACCAGCAGCTCGGTAGCAGTGCAAAAGCAACTCAGGTGAAACTCGGCGACAGGCTAGACCTGCGATTACTCAACGGCCCAAGTACTTCAAGTGATGATTGGTGTCTGGTGATAAGTTTTTGCGCAAGGCTCCCTGCCCAATGCGAGGCCTCCGGCCCTTTCAACGCCTTCAGCCTTTGCTCCTGGCTCTCTCGGCTGCCTCATGCTATGGCTGTGGCTGACGTCCATTTCAGGCCCCCAACTGAAAGCACATCAAGGATCCCTGAATGTGCTGGACATACCGCATGGAAGCCGTCCTGCCGCTTCTGCAGGAGATCCCGCTCATGATGCAGCGCGTCAGCCTGCCCGGATGCTGCCAGGGCCGCACCTTGTCATTGAACTTACTGGATTTGATCGGTCCTTTGCCTTTTGGTTCCCAAACAAACATTCCTTTCGCGGCTGCAACTTGAGAACCTGGTGGTGAATGGTGGTCTTGGCTTGGTGTTGGCAACTTTAGGGGTTGGTTTAGCGTCTCTGGTCTCCGGGTCCGGTTTAGGGGACGATTCAGGATTGGGTGTGTGCTGGATGGGTTTCAGGCAGGTTTAGGGGGCTTGTAGGGTGGAAGGCCAGCCAAAGGCCGCAAGAACCAAAGCCACAAACACCGAAAATCACAACCGCCAAAGCAAAAAACAAATGGCAACTGAAACACAACTTGAATCATCCGAACAGGCGAAACCATGGATCGTGGCTCTCCATCCCAAAAGCCAGATGTCTGTGGGCCATGGGCAAGAGAACTCAATTGCCGATCTACGCAGCCCGTCCCTTGCATCAAGAATGGGCATGCAAAGAATGGTCCCAAAAAACTGAAGACCCCGTGAGGAATGGAACGGCCGGCTCGCCGTCGGGGGCGCAGTGCGCTCTCCGCAACCCGCCTGAGTGCCCAAGGCCTGAGCCACTCTTTGCTGGTGCTCCTGGCAGGTGAACTGAAGGCTCCCCGGTTGCAAACCTGGGAATCCACTTGAGGCAGGCGCCTAACTTTTTATGTTGGAACGTGGTTCAATAAATCGAACCTATGGGAAAAATGAGGAGAAATAGCTGGGCCCACAGCGGCGCAACCGTCCTGCATGCGCTGCTGGTTTGTTCGAATGATGGCCTCCAACTCCTGCAGACAAAGCTTACTCCCTCCGTCCAAGGGCACCCCTAGGTTGCAGGGATCGGGAAGCCTATGAAGCTGCAAGCTACTGTCCTGCTTTGACCGCTCTTCTTGGTCGCGTTGCTGCTTAAACTCGTCAATCCTGACACGTGCTCACATGATCAGAGGAACACGTGAGGTCAAAGCCGAACTGTGGAGCAACCAGATTGAGGCCAGGGGCAACTTGTTTTTCTTCATCTCAATCTCAATCTTGAGAAGGCCTCGGCAAGTCACCAGAGCTCACCCAACCCCATCGGACGGTCGGGTGCCAGGCTAAAGTGCCTTTCAAGCTCCTCTTGTATCTTCTCCTGTCAGGCGCTTGCAAGTGAGGTCTGCATGTCCTGCCCCCGAAACTCTGGAGTTGCTTTTCCAACTCCACCCCTCCAGGGCACTTGTTCCAACCAACTTGTGTGTGTGTGTGTGTGTGTTTGGGCCACGCCAAAAGGCAAAGTGGAGTTTTGTTCTTTTTTGCCCACCCTATATCCGCCATGAGCGCTCCAAAACGCCATACAGCGCGCCAAAAGACGCGCCACTCCTGGATGGTATCCTCGAACTCCTTGGAGCCAACCTTCTGCTTGATGCGCCTCTGTACCTCAACTCGGCGCTGCATGGCCTGGAGGCATACAGCGGGAGGCGTACCGAAGCGAGGCCCCGAGGCGAAACCAGCCTGGCTTAAGGGGGAACCCCCAAACAAAACAAACTCACACATGCGCATCGGGGCACTTCCTTCTCAATCCGCTTCGCCTGCGCCTCCCTTCTTCGAATCTCATCTTCTTTCTCCTCAGACGACGAGTCCTGCCAATGCAGCGCAATGAACGTGACTGACCTGCAAATTAAGCATGATGCTTCTTTTGTTCTCCTGCAATCTACAATAACATGTGGGCACTGTGTAAGAATTAAGGGATTTTCTTCAAGGTCCGTGTCCTTCTTCTTGTCCTTTTTAGACCTCAGAATCTGCGAAACCCATTCAAGACCCACTTGTGATAATCTATCTCACTATTAATTTTAGACCTCCTGCTGCCTTGAGCTGTTGAGCATGTGATACATCTTATACATTCTCAGGCTCTGTCTTCTTCTTTTGCTTTGTGCCCCTGCCGGGCACTTTGCAAGCACGTGGCTTAAACAAGTTCATACTCAGCCCTCTTAAGCATCGAGTTGCGCCTCTGTCGATCACGAGATCGTGAGCGCCCCATATTCTTTAGCCCAAGCATTGCAGGCACCAACCATTAGTTCGCGTGCAAGAGCAGCATGAGCGTGGCTGTGGCTCGCACTCATGCCGTTGCCCAAACGACAAGCAGCAAGCAACACATTTTCCTGGGTTAGAGTGATTCGCATATGACATCCCGAGCTTGCTCCGACTGGGTTTGCAAGATTTGACGATAATGCCGCCTGCTTCACTCACAAGACTGGACTGCCTGATTTCTGATGGCCGAAGATTGTCTCTGTTGTGCTGGTCACAAATCACAGGTTGCCGCTTTCTCTCTACATGCTCATGACCGGGCTTGGCTGATCTACGCCTATTGCTTGGTGTTTGCTGCGTGGCATGGATTGCGGTTGCTGGCAGCCCTCACTCACTGGCTCATTCTCCATGAAGATCCTCCGCAATCGAGGCTCAAGCATTCATCCCAGAATGTCGGATACACGGGCACAGGACAACGCGCAGCTGCGACACTTAGACAACGAACGCGCGCCCCAGCAGTCCTCAGCCAAACATGTCAAAATCATCTTTCTCCACTGCCTTGTCGGCGTAAATGTCCTTGAGGTCTTTGGTCGGTGCAGCAGACGGCTTCATTACTGGACTGCCACCTTCCACGCCCTGCGCCACAAGTGCCCGTCTCCTTTCTATGTAGCGGGGCGTGTGCTTGTCCGCCCAGCCGAATTGCACCACTAGAGCTGTGAGATTCTCGTCGCTCCCCTTCTGGAAGGCTGTCCGCACCACGTTCTTGGCTGCCTCTTCGGAGTCATCCCAATGCTTGCTGGCACAGTCTACCACGTCCTGGTTTGAGAGCACACGGGTCACGCCCTCTGTCACCAAGACGATGAACAAATCCTTGTCGGTGATTGGTAGGACTCGGACCTCCGGATCTGCTGCTGACAGGGCAGGATTCTTGAAGCAGGCATCTCCCAAGGACCGTGTGATCGAAAGGCCTTGATACTCTCGTCGCGAGGACTTTGTTGAGCCCCGCGGGTTTGCGGGAGCCGCGATTCGCCAGGCGCCCCGCACGTTCAAAACCAAGCCTCCTGCCCGCTCAATGCGCTTCTTTTCATCTATCCGGTCTGGCTTGTGATCCTCTGTCACCTGCACAGCCTGCCCAGCTCTGCAAAGGATGGCGCGGGAGTCTCCAACGTGAGCCAACACCTCAGTCAAGCCATGAAAGGCTGTTCCACCAACACGAGTGTCCCAAGTGACGTGCGAAAAACCGAAACACCCGGCGACACAACTTTGCATGCTTGTGCAAGCACGAAAACACGATTAAGCTGCAGAGACAAGCACCAATCGTAATGCAGTTCCAAGCTTGGGGTTTCCATGCAGCATCGCACAAACCGCGGTTGCTCCGGCAGATTCAAACTTCTTCCGCTCGGCCAAGCCCAGGATCTCCTTGTCCGTGTGAGCAAAAGCTTCTCGGACCGCCATCTTCAGCTTCTCATCCCTGGACGCGGGTTGAACCGCCTTCTGCCGGAAAAAGGCCAAGATGTTTCTGTGCAAATTCTTTGCGGCCAGCTCGGACACTTGTGCTCCACCATGACCGTCGAACACGGCAAAGTACACCCCGAGCTCATCCATAGCCTCATCTTGGGTGAACCTGTCCTGCAGCTCAATCTGCTTGCCCGGCCAGCTTTCCGCATGCACCCGGACCCCAAGCGTATCTGCAGTGACGAAGTAGCTTTTCCGCTTCTCCTCCAAATTCTGCGCCCCAGCGTGCACCGGCAAGGGCTTGTTGTCTTTGCCCAACATGACAACCTCCTGGGCGCGAGGCTTCCCATCCTGCTCGCCAAGCTTGTAAAGCACTCGAGCCCCTTCCCGGAGATTGATCGGATTCTTGTTGGTGCTCCCGACCACGTTCCAGAGGTGCACGAAGATGCTCTTGGGAGTTTCCTCATCTTCTTTCACCAAAGGAATAATGAAGCCAAAGCCTTTCTCGGAATTCCACTCTCGGACTTTACCTTCCACCTTCTTCTCGCTCTCCGGCTCTGCCGGTTTCTCCTTCTCAGGTGGTCTGGGTGCTGGAGCTATAGCCACAGGGGGGGCAAGACTTCCGTCGTCTGCGATTGCCCTAGCTGCAGCTGCTGCTGCGGCCCCCTCGCCAAACTGAACAAATTCTGTCGACTGAATGGCTTTTCGCATCTCCTCAGACTGCTTCATCTTCCTGACGATTGGGTCGTCGTCATCATCGATCTTCCGGAAGTTCTTTGGATCCCCTTCCTTCTGGATGTAGTACACGCCGCTTTTGATGTGCAGGTAGAGGCCCGTTTCAGGGTGGAATTTCCACTTGCTGGTCTTCTTGTACACATACCAACCGCTTCCATCAGGAGCAGGCTCATAATCTGCGAAACTCGTAGGTGGGACTCGCTCTGGAGTCTTGGACCTCTGCTTGCGAGCAGCTCTACGAGACTTCGATCTGGACGGTGCGGTTCGCCGCTTGGGTGAAGGCGACCGTGCCTTGCGTGGGGCTGATGCGCTCTCTGACGACCGCGGCCGTCTCTCCCTACGAGACCTCGATCTCCGGGTCTTGGATCGGCTGCGGTCCTTCCTCCTGGACCTGCTCCTTTTTCGCCGCGACCTGAGTCGACCAAATCCCTTTGAGGACCCAAAACCCTGAGAATCAAAAAACCGTGGCTGTCTCCTGATGGTTAGCACGAAACCTTCAATTTCTCTTGGCTGGCTGTAAGTGTACTGGACTCAGTTCAGATTTCTTTTCTGGTCAAGGTCTTGATTTTGGGCTCACCTGCTCCGCGAAGCGCTCCGAGGCATTGCACACGTCCCGTCTGCCTAAAGGCCTCACAGGCTTTCCATGCACAGCCGCGAGGGGCAGACCCTCCGCTTGAGCAACTGCACCGGCATCCGTGGGAGAAACCATGTCACATCAAGCACAGAAGCCGCAAAAACTCAACGCCGGCAAATGCTGTTGAAAAACCTGACGTTTAAATCTGCCACGTTCTCCTGTCTTGTTCCTTTTTTGCACTCTGGCAATAAACCGATGTCAAAAGTGGGCTTGGGAAGGCCCCCTCCTACCAACCATACCTCAGAGTTGTGATGCGACCTTTGCTGGAGTGTAGTTATTCAGCACGTGATTAGACAGCAATTTCAAAGGCGCAATGCATTTCCCAGCAGCTCTCGAAAACAGACGAGTTTGGCAACTGCATCAGCGGCATGAGCGTGCCTTCTTGCTTGCAGGCCTTATGACAAATGCAGATGCAAACTGGACGCGCGCGTTGCTCTTTTAAGGCGCAGCGTGGCACGTACCCATGGACGCCATGAGTTTCACAAGAGTTTCCGCAATGCAATGTAGCATGAGAAACATTCGTTGCGCGGCGTGGTCCAACGCAGAGTTTTGAGGAACCATGCGAACATCTTGTGCAGCACCTTCGCCTCATGACAAGCGCACCTACGCCGGGCAAAATGCTGACTCACCAACCAGCGAAAGCACAGCACGCTTCCACGGACCCACAACATGCCCAAATCTGTGAAAGAGGCAGTTGGACACACGCTTGGGGACACTCATGCAGGCTCACAAGAAGCAAAAGATATAGAAATGAGGAACTGTTTGCGTTGTCTTTTTTATGAGGATATAAACGTTGACTCCACATATTCATACTCATTGCGCGCAGCAAACAAAGTGTCGAGTTCCCAGAGCTAGCGAGTTTAGAAGTTTATCGCTCGGCGTCAAGCAACACCTTTTTCCTGGCCGCGGTCCGCCACACGCAAGTCAGCCCCACCACCACAAGCTTAGCAGGACGCTGCTGAGCAGGAGGCAGCAGTCAGTGGTGGCAACGCTCAGTGATGTCTCCGCCAGACAGCGCTGCTTTGGTGGCCGTGTAGAAATAGCACCGCTCCAAATTCACTCCGTCAATGCATCCAGGACACCAAACAATAACAAGCGCGCGGCGTGACTAGCTCCAAACATGTTCCCAACGAATGATGGCGTGCCCTGCCCGTCCCTGGCTGTCGCAGCGTAGTTGTTTGTTCAAAGCAAGGGGGGCACAAAAATAAATAAACCAAATTTGAAGGCCTCCCTTACGAGCCCAAGCGCGCAAAATGGAAGCCCACAACAGAATTCTGCGCTCCACGCTGCAGGGAAAGGACAAGGCGGGGCACAAAAGCAAAAGAAGAATGTTAGGCAGAAAGGTTCACCTGCGCGCAAGGAAGGGCCTAGGCCAGAACTTTGCCCGCATCGTCCCCGGCAGCGCAGCTAGGGGTGCCGGGAGTTGGCAGGCCAGCAAGTCACAAAGCGGGCCCATCAGGTTGCTGTTGCCTTGCCGAACTGTCCACGCACGAGGCGGCCTCAATCCTTATAGCCAGGCAAGCTTCTACTTGCCGTTGGCACTTGGCGCCGCCAAGTCCAAAAAACAAGTCTAGGTTCGCCTGATCGGTGAAATGCAGGCTTCTGGGGCGAAATGGGTTTGCGGTTTCTCGACTCTAACACAAAGGTGGCCCACAATTAGAGGAGGACCACTGCGGTCCGCAAGCATTTGGCTCGCCGAGAACGCGCCTCCCCAGCAGCATCTGTCCAAGCGGCGAGACACGGTGCATGCTGCAGGCGGTCCCAGGGGTGCGTGGCCCGCCACCAAAAACGGGAACCCCGCACAGACGTCCCAAAACAGGGGTAACAAGGGGCGGCAGGCGAGTCCGCAAGGAGCGCGCTGAGGTCGAGCCCAACGCCACTGACCCTTTGGGAGGGACTCAGCGAAGGACAGCTGAGCCGCAAAGGCGAGGAACGCCGACCAGCGAACAACAAACGCAGCAGCCGCGGCAGAGCAGATCGCACACAGGTTGCAGGCATTGCTATCAGCCGAATGGTGCTCTTCGCAAGCCTCGGAACAACAACGGCCGCCGGCGTCGACAAGCACGACCAAACGGCAGCGGTCAGCTCAGGGTATGTGGCCTCCTTGCGGCACCGGGCTTCAAGTAAGGCAAGGTGGCGGGCAGACTCACGCCGACTTCGGACGGACGTGAGCGGAGACACGTTGGCGGTGTCAATAGCAACCACGTCTTAAAAAGCATGCGACGGTCGTCAAGCCGATTGATAGTGACATTGACAGACATTGGGGTCACGCACGAACGTGTTGGTGTTACGCGCGCGCCGGCTTCCCGACACACAAGCAGCAACCCGTTCTAGCGGTAGCGGGCACCCACAGCTCCAAGAATGTCGGGAGCAAGGGTAGACAAAACGCGCCGCAAGAAGAGTGGCTGCCAACCTCGAGCGCGGCAACGGCTGGACCGCAGCAGCTCGGGATAGACACGCCCGCGTCCACCCCGCGCAGCGGTGCAATTGTCCGGCGGAGCGCGCGCTCGTTCCTTCCGCACCCGGAGACGAACAGCAGCCTGGGCAGCAGCAGGAAAAGCTTCCATGCTCCTGCGTGGCTTTTGTCCGCCGGTCATCGGTGCACAGCGCGTGCAAAGTGAATGCCCGGCGAGCTCCTGGCACCGTGAGGCCTTGCAGACTAGGGACAGGGGCCGCAAACTCAGCAGCGAGCTCTACGGTATCCAGCCACGTCCGCTGGCTGCCGGATCTGCCAGACCGGCCTGCTGAGCCGGGTCTGGGTCCACCAGATCCGCTGGGTCCGCCGGGTCCGCCGGGTTTGTTGGATCAGGCCCCGCAAGCTCAGACCACACCATTGTGATACTTCACCTTGGAGGTCTCACAAAGTCTCCCCCTCCAAGCGAAACAGGGCAGGATGCCGTCCATGACAGCCATCCACGCTGCAAGGGGGCCTGCAGCGCATCAAAGAAGCCCAAGGCTGCCGGAGCGGGCGGAGCCAAACTCGCTGGGCTGGCGGCAGCGTCCCCAAACGCAGTCTGCTTGAGGCGCTGCACCTGGAGCAGCCGGCGAGTAGCTAACGGCTTGGTGAAAGCTGGGCAGCAAGCTGGAGCAGCGCATAAGCGCGCTGCAAATGCTCCGGAGTGACCTGCAAGTTCCTTTGCACGAGGACTTCGCGGGAGTAGCCACCGACGAAAACTTCAAACACCAACAGCCACGCCTCGGGGACCCCAAAACAAGCATCTGCCTGCACGTCGCCCAAGTCACGAACCATGTGGCTCTGGACATTCATAGCTGCTAGGCGTCAAGGCAGTCGGTGCGGCGCTGCAAAGTACTCGGCCACCCTTAACACTGCCTTTGGGAGAGAGCATGCTTCTGGAACGCCGGGGCTTCGGTTGGCCACCCGCCACTTTGCCTGCAAGCCACTGGCGGCTGACGGCAACCACTTGAATTTCAAACGGCTCATCTTGCCATCAATGAGTTGTACTGAAGTGAGGAGCCGTTCTGTGTGAGCTGCATCGCTCCGGCGTCTTCAAGACGGCGGGGGGATCACTTTGGTCGCAGTTTTTGGATCACTTTGGTCGCAGCTGAAATCCACTCACTTTGGTCGTAGTTTGAGCATTTGCGGATCACTTCTGTCGCAATTTTTGGATCACTTCAGGCGCAGTGGAAGATAGCTTTTTTAGCACTAACAACAGGACACACGCAAAGGGTGTTGCCTCTCAAACACCTAACAACAAGACATGCCGCGTGGGGTGGGGTCGACAAGGATGTTGCCTCTCAAACACCTAACAACAAGAACTGCCGGGTGGGGTGGGGTCGACATGGATGTTGCCTCTCAAACACCTAACAGCAAGACATGCCGGGCGGGGTGGGGTCGACAAGGATGTTGCCTCTCAAACACCTAACAACAAGACATGCCGGGCGGGGTGGGGTCGACAAGGATGTTGCCTCTCAAACACCTAACAACAAGACATGCCGGGCGGGGTGGGGTCGACAAGGATGTTGCCTCTCAAACACCTAACAACAAGACATGCCGGGCGGGGTGGGGTCGACAAGGATGTTGCCTCTCAAACACCTAACAACAAGACATGCCGGGTGGGGTGGGGTCGACAAGGATGTTGCCTCTCAAACACCATAGTCAACGGCGAAGAAACTAGGACCGAAGCGAGTAAGGAAACTAGGACCGAAGCGAGATGAAAACTAGGACCGAAGCGAGCCAGCAACTAGGACCGAAGCGAACCCGCGACCTTCAAGACCAGTCCACATCAATCAGCTCAGCAATGTGCGGGGTGAGGGGCACCAGCGGTGCCGCGAGGCTCCCAGCAAGCCACGTTGACCCTTTTCATCAGCAACCGCCCTGTCCTTGAGGCAGACAAAAATCGCTGGGAATTTGTTCGTGTGGCTGGGGGGCGCAGTCGATTGCGCAGGACAATTGTTTGCTTGTCCCTGGCCTTTTGTCCGACCCAGCAACTTCCGCCAATAAAAGGGGCCGAAAGTCAATCCTCACCAGTGTGCTTGCAACAAGTTGCTTCAGTTTGGATCCAGCACCCGAGTCTGCCGGTTGTGAACACAGAGAGACGAGCGCCGTTCGTCACGGGGCACATTATGGAGAGGCAGTGGAAGGCATAGAGGAACTCTGGGCGCGCTACATCTGGCAGAAGCAATGCTTTGCGTCAAACTGTGCATCTAATCCCACATCAGTTTCATGGCTGACAATTGGCAGCGCCACTTGCCTGAAAAGTTTTCCTACATTTTCCTACCTTCTGTGGCTACGCAAAAGCTGCGGTCAAAGGGGCTGATGCTGCACACCAACACCTGCCGCTTTAACAAGGGAAACGCCTAACAGTCCAAGCTGCCAGCGGCATGTCCTTTTTTTTAACGCCTCTTTTACGACTGCCAGATGGTGAAACGAACGAACCAGCCACGGAAACCCAAGCTCGCCAAAAGGCGGCACGTGGCATGCGTCGCCGCCGGGCCCCCCGCAGGGAGCTCGAGCAGGCTCACGCCAAATGCGCCTTGGGCGGCGATCGCGAGCAGTTGGCCCCAGCGGCGTGTGAACGCCCCTGCCGC